TCCCTTCACAGACAACGTTAAATGATTTGCTTTAGATTGCTAGAAATCTTCTAGTCTAAGGGAACATCATGACCACCTCCTTTAAGGGAGGCAACGTAAGCTGTGCAGGTACACTTGGCCTATGTTAAGTTTAATTTCTCATCCAATCAATATCAATGGGGGGACCTTCCTTTGCAAAACACCAAAGATTGAGCTCTATTAGGTATTGGTGCAACTTTTCTTTCATAGACTCTTTAATAAGATTCCAAAATATTGACAAAGACTGATGAAAATATGAAATATTTCAGATCCAATATCTTGAAAAACGTAAAGCAACAGTAGGCTAATTTTCATGGACGATCCTCTTAAAAAACCTTCCTCCTTCTCTTAGCTCCTGATCTCCTTTCCCCCTTTTTTCTAAGGGACTCCACTTGGAAATCCCCAAATGGCTTTCCTAAGGCTTCTTTCCTTCCACCTCCAAGCTCAATTTCCTTCTACCTTCCTCTGGCTTCTTCTTTCTCGATTTGCCTCTACATCCATCTCTGTCCTCACCATAGTAGATGTGGCAGCACCTAAGTTTTTCTTGTGGGGGATTGAAATCACTAATTATGCAGAAGCCTGATCATAGGTACTGAAATTAGACAAAAATTGAGCTTACTAGGACCAAGATGCTACCAAAGGGACCCAAAGAAAGCTCCCATTCAAGGTCGCCTCCTGATAGTAAAATTCTGCAAAAAAGAGTATTATATTCAAACAAGAAATTGAGTTCCGAATGAGAAGCAAAGAAAAACTCGGATAATGATTGGATCCTGCGCTATTCAGCACATTTTCAAGCCCGAAAGGCTATTAAAATGTTTGTTTCATCCCCGTCTTTAGTTTCTTGAATTTTTTGCTTAACGTTGGTGATATTTTTCTTTATTTTTTGAAAAGTCTAGTCAGGGGCAATTGTCAAAGAACTTATTAACAATCAAGTTTGAACTTCATAGGATGTGAGAACTCTAGAATCTAAGTTACATTTTTGTATAAATTCTTTAGTTTTTGCACAAAAATAAAAGTATCGAATTATGCTTGAATAAAGACAATCAAGAAGAATATTTCAAAAAAAAAAATCAAGAACAACAAAAATAAGTAAAAAAGACATGTTTGTGAAGGTATAATATTTAGCTCAAGAACAACAGTAAAACGTAAAGAGAAATAAGGATGCCACAAGCTAGGTACAAACAATTTAGTAGAAATAACCAACCTTTTTTGAAATAAAATTTAGCAGAAATAAGCCAATGTATCCCCCTAATCCAGATTTCACAAACATGAAGGACAATCTTATATGTTCCACGTTCCTCAAACATTGAGCCCCAACATACATCTACAAAGAATTTCCATGTCAAACTAGGAGGCAATGTCAGCTGAAGTTTACAGCAGCATGGAAGAGTGAAACTTAAGTGTCGTTCCCATCCAACTGGAATGTGCTTGGTTGCATTTAGTTAAAAGACTTGTTTGCAATGTAGTGAAAGTATGTACTAAGTACTAGTATAATCTAATGTTCATTTCCAAGTGTTATTGAACTTGATCCAAACACCTGGCAGGATGTAATAAGAAACTTATAATTCCTAACAGATCTGAAAAGCCTAAAAAGCTCATTGATCAAGGAACAGGACTTACTTAAGTTGTGATCAGCAAGACTGATAACAACAATTTCCTATTTGTTATTTATTTATGTTCTTTTTTAAATAAATTTCCTATTTATTATTTATATCATATTCAACCCCAAGAAGACATGAAGATCGAATTGAGAAAAGGAAGGAAGAGCAATAAATAGGTGAGGGTGTTAGGTTCTCAAGGTCTGATAGATCTTTGACTATAGCACCATGTGAAACAATAAAGTCAGGTAATCAATTACCCGAAAAACCTGATAGTCAAGAAACCAACTTTGTTGTTTATATTCTAACATATACGACCTTGTTCTCTCAATTTGATGTTATATATGTCAAGAAAATTTTAAATGGTCGACCCCATAGAAGGACATGTGAGTCACACTAACTGTGAGGTTAAATTTAAAAGATATATGATTGAGTCTTGTATAATACAAGAAAAAAATCAAAAATTACACCATTACACACATATGATATTGCAGTTTCTGTTCAACTTCTCGTACTATAGTGTGAAAAATCCCATGGTTAACTAGAAGAAAAAGCAAAATAAAATGGTAACAGCTCACCAAATTTCATGGCGAAAATTTGTGCAACAGAAGTTCCAAACAATGAGTTGCAAAATAAATAAACTGATAGATCTTTGAGGGCTCCAAAATTGGCATTCTTCAGTCCAGACGCTGCAACATGGCAGTGTGATTATGCAAGCAGGCATCAATAAACCACCAAAACATGAAAAATGTGGGAAGAATGAGAGAGACATTTTGCGAAGTTGAAAATAACACAGTAGATTATAGAGGGAAAAAAAACACCTACCAGAAGAAAAGGAACTTATCTTCCTTGTGTTTCCAGTAAAAACAAAGAGAGAACAGAGCTCTTATCTTTTAAAAGCATAAGAAACTTTTTTTAAGCAAAAGAAACTGAGAGACAACAGTGCTTGCAGCGGAAGAAAGAAAAAGAAAAACAGACTCTAAAAAGTGGAAGAAAGAAAGGAAAACGAAGGTTTGGTCCATGAAAACATTTTCTACTCTTTGTTACCTAAATTCAAATATATTTTCTACATAAAAATTTGTGAATTATGGCCTGCCCCAATGGGATACTCAAAATATAAACAAAGTTCCTTTCTAGAAAACACTTATAATAGTCTTCTATTCATTTAAACCTCTTGTCACCATCATCTTCTAATCCTTATTTTCATTTTCACTCCATTAGTACATAAAAATATTTTCTTAGCTTTTCATTTTTATACTCTAAATATTCATGCATAGAAACATGAGACATAGTTGAAAGTGAAGATAATGTTCATAAAGTAAAAAAAAAAAATAAGACAAATTTGAAAAGGAAAAGAAAAAATTGACATTCTATACACAACTTCTGTGTTTGTACATAATAACCATTTGACCACATCTTAGTATACTCTTTCTTTAAATAACTGCATGAACACATATAAATTTAGGAAATGAAGACATCAATCTTCTTTTTCCTGTAAGAATAATATGGATGTAGAAAATAAAAGGCATAATAGGTTTTTATGGATCAAATGAAGCCTAAGATTGTAAATAACATACCAATCAGAATAGTGTATTGCACACTGGTATTGTCCCTAAAATTAGCAGCCTGATTAGATGTACCATTTCAGATTTGATAAAGTAGTACCAAATGCCTGCCAAAATCCATGTGTAAATTACGAAACACATTAAACTAGAAGTTGTTGAAAATCTAAAATGTGGTTCAAACATAAAGATATGAACTAAAACAACCCTATAATTAAAAATGAGCATATTCTAAATTCTTTATCATTGGAGAGTTGCAAAACATATTGAATTAACAAACTATAAGTAGAGAAACTAAACTGCAAATTTTGTTAATCTCTGCACTTAAACCCAGTTTAATTTCCAACAAACAAAGAAGAGCTGTATTTACTAATTTAACCAAGACCATTAAGATAGTCCTTGAATCTTAAAAATGGAAACCTTGAGCCAGGCCCATTCCTCTAAATTCAAGTTCTACTTCCTATCTACTCCCTATACATACATTAATTATCAGGACTCGGGTAAACACAGATGTTAAATCTCTCAAATACCATTAAAAAAAGAGCAGGAAAAATAAAGATGAGAATAGTAGCAGTTGATCACAAAGAAGTAGGAAGATAAGAGACGAGAAAACCGAATTCTGAAATTTCCCAAATTAGGGCAAATTAGTTGAGTTCCATAATTTAGTATACCAAATCTAAAAACAAAACCCATGTCCTGGAGAATCTTCTTCTCTTTCCTTTTTTTCAAATAAAAAAGTGTGTAGCAAGGAAATTAAACCGGCCGGCAGCCAGTGTTTCGACGGGAAAACGCGAGTTCGAAAGCCGTTGAAACAGCGTGAACAATTTATTTAGTACACTGTCAAGTTGAGCAAAAAAGACACAGAAGAGAAGTGCGTTAATGATAAAGTTGGCAGAAGAGCATAAGTTGAGGTTTACCTGGAGCTGCAATTTAGTACTTAGGGCTTGTGAGTAGCCTTCAGAGCTTTACCTTGCTTTAGCAGGAACGTGACAGAGAGAACAAAGGAGGGACGAAGAGGGAAGCAAAGACATCCCCCGTTGAAGAACCAAAATTATTAAAGATCTTATTCTTTGTTTGCTATTTATATCATTGAAAGTTTTATTTTCTTTTATTAAAATATATTTTACTTGTCACTTATAAAACTACAAAAAAAAATATATATATATATATATATATACAAAATTAACTATTAACATAAAGTTATATTTTTCTATTGTTTTTATAAAATGAATTATATGAATAAAAGTATACAACAATTTTATAAAATGTAGTATTTTATTTTAAAAATTGCAAAGATTTATAAGAAAATTATAATTTATTCAGAAAATCAAATTTAAAGGTAATTTATTTTTATTATATTTGATTTAACAAATTCATTGAAAAATTTTTGTTTTGATTAAATGTTGGTAAAATAAAAAACAATAGAAAATTGATAGTATCGGTGGCCATTCTCCAGAGATGCGCGTGGTTCACAGCTGCTAACGCCAGTGACCACTCATGCCTTGTCCTGCTCTCCCCCACTTTTACAGAAAATAATAATAATAACAATATCGTAAAATTAGAAACATTTTTTTTTTTTTTAACATTTGATCAACCTATCTAATCACGTGATAATTTAATAATTAATATTTTTATATTTTATTTTAAAATTTATGAATTTAAATTTTAATAAAAATATCAAATTTATTATTTTATAAATGTATGTATTATTGAATATATACCAAAAACTTAATTTATTAAATATTTATATAATTAAATTTGAACCGTACGAAATAATATTTCATAAAAATAAAATTTATTTAGTTAAATAATCAAAAATTGGTGCAACTGAACTCAATTTTTCTTATTGGAAAACTAGAGGACTCAAACTTTAATATATACATTTGAAAAAATATTAATTGTTTTTATTGGTGAAATTTTTTATTACACAATATTTTAAATAATTTTTAAAATACAGAAACAACTTAAATTAACTTATTTGAATTCATGATTAATTTTTCAAAATTAACTAATTTTAGTAGAATTTAATTATACCACTCTAATTTGGTAAAAAAAAAAAAAAAACTCATGCGTGATGTATTTAAATAAATTGTGAATTAAAATGACACTTTAAACAAAATTATAAGAGTTAAACTAATTTTAACTTTTATATTTAAATTAAGAAATATAGTCATCACCTTATTAAATTTATTATATTTATTAAGAAATAATAAATTATTGTGACAAATATTTATTTCATCATTAGACTCATAATAATAATTTTCAAATAATTTTTGAATGGAACAATAAAAACACACAATAATATATATATATATATATATATATATTTCTTAACAAATTAATAAAATATATTTCAATTTTAACAAATGATTTGAAAAACAATTACTAGTAGCAAAATGCTGTTTCTTGAAGCTTCAGAAAAATAATTAAATAAAGGGTAGGGTGGATGGTAAGAATATTAGTGTTGGGGGACGGAGCAAATGATGCCTCTTGCCAACAACTTCCTTCATTCACAAGCTTTATATATCTATCTATGAATTACCCCCCACATACTTAAAACATCTATTTTGCTTGAAATTAATTGCGTCACCGCAAGATGCTTACACACTGACGCCTTTCATCCCAACATATTATTAACAAAAACGTATATATAATAATCACTAAAGTGTGAATCATCATTACAATTATTCTTCTTGTATTATAGACCAACAAGACAATATATGCTTATCTGTTGAAGAGGTTTAAAAAATAATAACCTAAAGAATACTCTTAAGACAGTTCTTTTGGCACTAGATGTGATTTTTCTTAAATATTTCTACTAACCAGTGAGTTAACAATGGAGATTACACATAACATTTACAATGTAGTATTTAGATTGTAGAGGGTTGTGCTTACAGACGATAATTATTTGAGCCAGAATAATAATAAATAAGTCAATGAGCCCCTCAATTTCTGTATCCATCTGTATGTATGTGTATGTATACACACACACACACACACACAGGTTGAGCTATAAGTTCCTGCTAATTGACGCACGTACAACACATATATAGTGGTAGATAGTTATGAAAAAGCAATATATAACGGCTGAATCCATCCATATACATGATATACTTTTGATAATAATATATTACCAACATTATTAATTATTACACCTACATAAAATATTTGATTAACGAATCCGATGGCGGCCTGCTCGCCTGCATCTGCATGCATGCATGCATGCATGCATGTTTCACATTTTTTACAAGACAGTGATTAATCCAAAATGAATTGAATATTCAAAACTAGCTTGACGCGGCCCTAATCAAGCAAATAAACTAGCTCAAAACGCACCGTTTTCCATAATTCAAAGACATCAAATGGTTAATGGAAGTTGAGTGGGAGTAGTCCGAGGACATATTCGCAGAAGTAGAACTTACAGATTCCACCAGCCGGGGCAACCAAACGCAGTCTCTTACCTGCTTCAGTGTCTGCGTATGTGACAATTTTTGCCCCATGCACCATATCTCAATCTGCAATTTACCCTTTTTAAATCGAGTGAAAACGAAACCACTACTCAAACTTCGTTTGTTTATTGCAAAACAAGATGTGTGTACATATATATATATATATATATATATTATGATGATCATACATATATTAGAGGTATATAGTCATTGAAAAGTAAGAGATGTATACTCCTGTAAAGTATTGCTCACAAGCTTGAAACTAAGAAATCAAAACATAAAATATGTATGCATATCCAGAATATTCCCACACATAAGATTTAATATACTAACTAGCTTGTTGAACTTTTAAATGTCAACGCAATGTTAAGTACAAATTTTCTCCAACATTTCAAATAAAGGAAAAATATTTGCTTTATAAGCTTTCTAATGTTCTCTCTACAATCACAAACCCTTTTTGCAATTTATTTTCTTCTTCTTTTTCTTTTGTAAAAATGTTCTTGATGCTGAATGAAGTAACTAGGGGTTAATTACCCTACTTCTGTGTTTATGCTCATGATAACTAGTCTGCCATTCTTTGAATCTAACAACTCTACTTTTCCACATCAAGAAGAGAAGCAAGTACACACAAATCCTAAGGTACTCAGCTAGGAATTCATGCGTGTTAAATGAAGCAAGAATATCATGAACGGAGTAGCTTCAATTTTGTTTGACAGATTTTCTTTAATTGAAAGGTTTTATATATATATATATATATATATATATATATATATATATATATATATCTTATTCTAAGTGATTAGCAATTTTAACTGAAAATAATGAGAAAAGTTTTTCCAACACAAACCTTTTGCGTAACTAGAGGTTATTTTATTTAATTCAGAAAAATGATAGAGAAAAAATAGAATGAAATTTGAAAATAATAAATTTTTTTAGAAAATAATTATAACGAATACATCCTCATATAGTTTTCCAGAATAAATACATAAGTTTAGGAAATCAAATTTTAAAAGAATATTTCATCTACTAAATAATTTTTCTCTTTTTATAGAATACATCAAGGATATGTATCTTTTCTTTAATGAATCAACTAGCTCTAGTTTCTCAGTTAGGTTAACAGCCAAAACCAGTCTTAATTATACATATGCTATAAGCCTATAACTATATATGCTTAATTGTACCATATATGATTAAAGATGCCAATTCTTTTCAATCAGTTATGCATGAGCAACCAGCAGGCACTAAAAGTATACTGTTATCAAATCCTATGAGGCACATACAGATACACATCTATATACATATATATAAACATTATATACGCTATATCTATCAAGAGGTGGTCAGCTTAAGCCATCTGTGAGATTGATCTCCTGATATTTGGAAGGGATAAACAAATGGAATAATCTCAAGATCCTTGTATATATAAAAGTTGGTGGCAAGAAACCATTGACCTGCCCAAAATCGTTGACTCTTAATGATCAACTTCTCTCCAACACGATCTTGCTAAGGGGAATTTACACTATATATATAGCTCCTATATATCCAGGCCGGCGAGCAGGAAACTACTAATACTAATAATCAATCCCCTACAACCATGTAACTACTTCGAGCCTTTAATTTCAAGAATCAAGATCCTGTCACTCTCTTCTTTTAATGAAGTGTTAAGGAAATTAATATATCTATATATATACACACACTATAATCACAGATGTCATGAAGAAGTTTGATTAGCCAACGTATGCGTATTTGTAGAGGACTAGGACATATTGTTATGTATGAGGTTGGTCAGTTGAAAACGACCCACGTAAGGAGATAGAGCTGACTAGTTTGCTAGCGCCTTGTAAAACGGCAATCACTTTCATGGTCATGCTTCATTATATATATACATACACGCGTATATTTATATGAAGAGAATAATTACCTCAGCTTCATTGGAGAGACCAAGCTTTGTAACCAGGTACTTTTTAACCATGAAAACCGTCATGCTCTCGTCCCTTTGGAGGATTGTTTCATTTTTGTTTGTGAAAAGGAGGGAAGCAGAGACCAAAACCCAAAAAGACAAGCAAAGTCAGCTTTTCACTCATTTCTCTGAATACCATCATTAGATGGGTTGAAATAAAAGACCAAAAGCAAATCTAACACACACATACACACATATCTACATATAGTCGTGATTAGTTATGCTAACATGCACCGCTTACTTCACTCTAATATACGCCTTTGGAATTTGAGGCAATGCTTCTCCATCCCTGCTAAAACCAACAAATAACACACTCGTGAGTACTTATCAACCAAACTTAACTATATACTTATATATTACACCAAAAACAATACAGACAATTACCCATTTGTACATTAAAATGAGAAAAGCAAAATGAAATATAAACATTATCCCTGAACACTAAAGAAAATTGACAGATCGATGAAGAAAATTAACACTAGTGATCATTACCCATTTGTACCTCCTAACCTATAGAGAGAGAGAGAGAGAGCTCATGGGTTAATGATGTAGATGTTGAAAATTTTGCTCACCGGTTGATAGATGATTGAAGGGTAAACCAGAGCCCACTTCTGTGTGGTCTTGATGAGATTATTGTGGTAGTAG